ATTATACATCAACAAACTAGATAATCTAGAAAAAATGGCTAAAGTCCTGGACACATACGACATACTAACTCATGAGAATTAGAAAACCTGAACCGAGGCTGGGCATTGTGGCACATGCCTGTGGTCCCCACAACTCAAGAGGCTGAGGCAGAAGTATTGCTCGAGCACACAAGAATAAGGCCAGCCTGGGTGAGACTGGCTCAAAAAAGAAACACAGGGACGGGGAAGGAGAAGTAGAAGAAAAAAAGAAAACCTGGACAGATCCAAAGTAAGGGGACTGGACTAGTAATAAAACATCTCCCATTAAAGAAAAGCACATGCCTGTAACATTAGTACTCCAGGATGCTAAGGTACGAGGATGTGAGTTTGAGCCCAGTCTGGGCAATTTCTTGAGATCCTGTCTCAAAAGAAAGGAAAGACAATGTCCTGGTGGCTTTACTGCTGAGTTCTACCAAACATTTAAAGAAATAACATCAGTTCTTCTCAAACTCTTTTAAAAATTGAACAGAAGGAAATAGTTATCAAACTATTTTTACTAGGCCAGTGTAACCCTAATAACAAAGCCAGATAAGGACACCACAAAAAAACAATTACAGGCAAATACCCACAATGAACACAGGTCTGAGTATAATCAACAAAATGTTAGTGGACTTGATTCAACAGCACACTGAAAGGATGAAAGATAAATGTTGGTGCTCATCACAATAGATGCAGAAAAGGGATGACACAATTCAACATCCTCTCATAAAAATTCTCAACAAATGAAGGGATGCTCCTCAACACTCCTTATATATTTTGGTTATTAACATATTATCAGATGTATAGTTTATAAATATATTCTCATTCTATAGGTTGTCTCTTCGCTTTTACTATGCAGCTTTTTAGTTCAATGCAATCCCATTTGGATTTGTTTTTGATGCCTAGGCTTTTGGAGTCATATCCAAAAACTACCCAAATGTCATCCGGCTTTCTCCATTTTCTTTTAGTACTGTTTATACTTTCAGGTCTTATAATCCATTTTGAGTTGGTTTTTGTATACGGTGAGATGAGGTTCTGATTCTTCTGTTTGTGTACATCCCGGTTTTCCAAGCATCATTTATTGAAGTTTGCAATCCTCATTTTGTATTCTTGGTATCTCTGCCAAAAATAAATTGACTATAAATGTATGGATTTATTTCTGTGCTATTCTGTTCATTGGTCTGTGTTTTTGTGTTAGTACCATGCTGTTTTGATTACTACAACTTTATAGTGCTTTGAAGTCAGAGAGTATAATGCTATTTTTGTGAAAAATGTTGGAATTTTAATAAAGATCATATTGAATCTGTAGATCACTTGGGGTAGTACATTTTAATAGTAATTTTTGCAATCCATTACCATAGGTTATCTTTCTGTGTTTTCTCCAATTTCTTTATAAACAAACTGCTCAAAAACACTGTGCATACCAGGTCTGTCCTTTTGTTTGCTGTGGCTGTAACCACAACCAAATCTGGCAGAAAAGTCAGCCAGCCACAAACAAATATATGCAAAAGTGTGCCCTTTAATTGAATTTCAGTCCACAATCCACATTTGTTTTTATATGCAATGAATGACACTAGTTACAACTGTAAATTTTCAAAATGAAAAGTGTTACTGAGCAGTTTTGGCCCCAAGCCTAAAAAGCTTATACTCTCCAATGACTTTGCAGTTTTACTAAATTTATAACATCACTTAGTTTTGGGTTAAGGAAAAAAGTCTTCAAACACATATTAAGAAATTATGGAGACTATTTCCATCTACTAGCTCATGCCTTACTTTCACCTAGCAACGGCAGAAATGTTCCCATATTTTAAAGGTAAAATATTTAAACTATTAATACCTTTTCTGCAGAGGCGGTTACTGGCTAAGGCACCTTTGAAAAGGAAATGAAAACGCAGGCCAATGTTAAAAACTGGGCTACAATTATGCAAGATCCAAGAGGTTCAGTGGAATGTTCCAGTCCCCTTCTCCTTGAGGTATGGAACTGACCTTGGCTTGGCTTTTGAGCTTAGTTCCCCTGGAAATCTGAAGGTAGACAATCACCTGTGTGACTAGGCAAGGCTGCTTCTGGTAAAATGCTCTGCGTGGTACTCCGCTTCCAAGCTGGAAGGGATGTAGAATAACATAATGCTAGGAGCCACATCTTAGGCTTCCTGAGTACAGTGCACCACTTGTTCCTAGGCTCTGTCCCTGGCTAAGACCCGGGGATGTTATATGCACAGGGACTGGTCTCTTATGGGCTCTATAGCCAGAGTGACTCCTGAACTCTTCTGTGTAGTCTGTGCTGGCTGCCGTGATAATCCTCAGGAATAATCTCAATGCCTTTAAATCACTCCCTGGCATGCTGTCTGGCCTGTCCCCTAACCTTTACAGTTAACTGGCACCAGACAGGGCCTTTTCAAGTCTTTAGAGCTTAATTATGCAGTGGAAACCAGAACCAGCCATGATGGGTGTTGCACATGCACTCAGTCATATCTTCAGAGGCATCCCCACCCCACATTTAACACGCTATGGTTTAGATCTGGGGTCTCCCTCAAAAGCCTCATGTGTTTGGAAGGTGAGCCAATCACTATAGTGAATATGCAGAATGTGCTGTTAGAAGGCAGGGCCTGGTTGGAGGTAAGTACTGGGGACATGATTTGGAAAGGTCTATCTCCCTCCGAGGCTCCTCCCTTCTCTGTTTCCTGGGCTAGGTGACAGGTGTGGCTTTCCTCTATGGGTGCCCTTTCCACCACACTGGTTCTGCCTAGAGCCAGCTGACCAAGGACTGTAACCATCAGCCAAAATAAACCTCTCCTAAGTTGTAGGTGTCGGGTATTTTGTCCCACAGACAAGAAAAGTGACTAAGACAACTCCAAACAGGCATAGACAGAGCTATCAAATGAGTATGAGATTAGAACCAAAGATACATCTTTGAAAAATGGGTCATGGCCTTTAAAGGTATCACTGAGGTTTAGAGCTGGGAATGGACAACATACAAAGAAAGGGATAAGGGACTGAACTTGAACTTTTTTTCTTTTTTGAGATAGGGTCTCGCTATGCAGTTCAGGCTGGCTTCGAACTCACAGCAATCCTCTTGCCTCAGCCTCCGAGTCCTGGGATGTCAGGCCTGCACCACCACATCCAGCTCTGAATTTGAACATTTTTATCACTTAGCTATCAGTAATTTCTAAATAATAGAGCAAGTCATCACGGTAGAGTGAAGAAATTCACCCAGAATCCAGATTTGGGTTCTATTCTGTAGAACCACTGCGTGGCCTTGGGACAAGGTGCTTCCCCTTACAGACATCTGTATCACTATATGGAAGAAGAGAGATATGGGCAGCAGGGAAAGATGAGAAGCAAAATTCAAGGAAGGGGAAAAACATGAATTTAGAAAAATGTTATATAATAAACAACAGCTGGAGGAAAGAAAACATTAGTTTTACCACGTGTCCGCTTTAAACTGTCATATCTGCAAAAGATGATTCTGGGCATTAAGAATGAGAACAAAAACAATTTTGTAAGCTTTTCCCTGTTGATCTTAGTTAACAGTGCTTCATTCATTTCTCAACATACCTGAATACCCACCAGCCTCCATGTTAAACAAGCTTTATTTGATAAAACTACTCAATTCTGGATAATAAAAATGCTAAAATCTTTGACTCCATAATTTCATTTATTTGTAATCTAGTTTCAGGAAAAATTCTAAATATAAGAAAAAAGCATTCTGTAAAAACATAAACTGAATTATTACTTATATAGATTAAAAACTTTACGTATGACCCAAATGTCTTATAGGAGAATGATAGTGTATTATGGCTCATTCATGAGGATACTACTATGAAACTAGTAAAATGATGTTAATAGCATTACATAAAAAGCAAATTTCGTGTTAAAGAAAGTATAAATTATAAGGCAAAATTTTAATTATGTTTTTAAAAAAAATCTATACATACAAAAAGAAGTGGAAGACACATATTAAGGGAGATTGCAAGTGGAACTTAAACATGGTTTCTTCCTGTTTTCTAAATTTTCTCAAATGACATTTGTTTCACTATGGAAAATAAACCACTATAAATAGAAACAATCTGGCAGAAACAAGATTTAAGTATCTTTCATTTAATTAAGCATTCTTCACACACACTGGGCTTGTAAATTTGTTGAATAATAAAACTAAATTTTTGTACCGTAAATCTTTTATCTAAAGAGTTTTATTTCTACATATTCCTCATGTTACCTAAAAATTCATATTTAGACCTTCATGGACTTTCAAGATAAAATAAATATGTTCAGAAAAAATCATTCCTGATCTAACAGGGACATTTTGTATCAACATACTTACCATAATAAAGTTTGGGGATAAATAGCATTTATAATAACTCAATATGTTTATAAATCTCAATTCTAAAATATGGGAATTTAAAATTATCAAAGAAAAGCTGAGTCAAAGAACTTTAGTATCTTTCAGATTAACCTCTTAATGGCTTGCTTACCTGTATTCCTTCCAAAGTGATTTTATACCATTTCTACATATGCAGAAAGTTCTTAGAACATGTTGGTTATGTGCAAGTAAATAAATTTCACAAATATGTGAAACGACCTTGCTAACTTTATACAGATGGCTGTGGTCTGAATGTTTGCCATCCCAAAATTAAGATGTTGAAATTCTAACCTCTAGAGTGATAGTAGTAGGACACAGGACCTTTGGGAAGTGAGCAGAGCCCTTATGAAGGGCATTAGTGCCCATAGAGATGAGGCCCAAGGGAGTTCCCTAGTCCCTTCCATCATGTGAAGACACAGCAAGGAGGTGCTATGAACCACAAAGTAACCCTCACTACACACTGAATCTACCAGCACCTTGATCTTGGACTTCCCAGCTTCCAAAACTATGAGAAATAAACACCTGTTGTTTATAAGCTACCCAGTCTATGGTATTCTATTATAGCAGCCCAAACAGATTGAAACAAAAAAGTAGTCATGAAAAAAAATCTCACATGCCACAGTTTCAACATCAGTGTTTTGTTTTAATAACATGAAATACAAGTACAAAACATTGTACAGGTATACTTTTTACTACATGGAGATGGAATAATACATTTGTGTTTTTACTCAAATCTGTATTACCCAGTACTTGCCACTGTACCAATGGCTTTCCACAGGGATTTTTTTCTTTTTACTATTCCTATGCAGGTTTTTCATGAATAAAAAGGCTCCTAATTCTTTCCAACCATTACAGATTTACATTTATCTTAATATTACTATTAGAGAACTGTTAAGAAATATAAAATCACCTTAGCCAAGGGTTCCGAATGTGTAGTACTATTTCACATTGGCTAAGATCCCCCTTATGCTGGTACTATAAAGACACTCTGCACTTATTTGGTGTTAGAAGTGCTGCAGCAGCAGCCCTCTTACTGTGTAAGAAGGCAAGTTAGCATTTTCTGAAAAGTTCAGAATACCATAATAGCTATTGGTCAAGCAGTAACCCATGAAACCCCCTTGACAGAAGACAACAGCAACAAAGGACTATATAGTCCTACAAGTACTAAAAAAATAAGTTTACAAATACTAAAACTGTCTGTCTTTTCTACCTCTAAAATGGTTTAACCACGCAAGTCAATAAGAAGTAAAGTGTGCTAATGCCCAGCATTCAGCTTCCATAGCATACATCAGTTTTCCACCGATTTCAGTTGAGTTGCCTTTATAATAGACAGAAAAAAAAAAGATGAAAGCAGTATTAATTTTGCTTGGCAATGTGAAAGAATAGTGTTAATTTAATAAAACATTTGAAACTAATTTTGCTTTTACAAATAAATAAAATGGTGTTTATCTTTTTTTTAAAAGTTTCAATCATTCTTGCTGTTAAAAAAAAAATCACTAAAAGTTATGTCAATCTTTAAGGAAAAATGCTGGGGAATTTAAAGTTACATGTTTGGAAAACAGAACCACATTTTTAATAGCCAGCTAATATTATGCTTTGTTCTTTGCAGAATCATCTTTGTTTCTTCTTTTGACATCCCAATTATAAACTCTGGCCATATCTGCAAGAACTGTTAAAGAAAATGCAAATGCAATTCTAAAGATAACACATGCAATGACAAAGTATCATGAATAAAAAATACAGAAATCACACACATACACATACTGATAACAAATAGTACTGCCAGCCATCTTGCTATATCAACTGCTAAGAAAAAATTGGAATTAAATTCTATCAAAACTAAGTCAAAATCCCCAATCAATAATCATTCAGCATATCTAGTCAACTATGGTATATTTAATAAATACGTACTTTTATTTTTGAGACAGTTTTTGCTATGCTGTCCAGGCTGCCCTGGAACTAGCTGAGACTACAGGTATGTGCCACCATACCTGGATCAACAGTTTTAAAGATAGTCCCTCATCCATAAAATTTCAAAGATCACTCAACTCATATTCTACCATACAATATTTCAATTATCAATGACTTTATTCTTACTCTCCCTTTGGGTTAAGAGGGCATTCATTCATTTGTTAAGCATCTACTGTGTTTCAGACTAGGTACTCTACAAAGCCTTGGATAGGACAGGTGAAGTCTTCCTCTCATGGAGCTCAGACTCCAGTAGATTGGTAGATAAATCAGATATTGGGTGCCCTAGCCTTCTCTTTTTAACTCATATTCCATCACGAGGAATAATGTAGAGCATTTCTCTAAGCTTAAAGGACTCACTTTAGATGATGTCCTTTCTTTTGGTTCCTAGAAGTCAGTCACTATTTTTCTCTCACATTTCACATCTTTCCACAGACACCGGCCCTCCCAGGTCCTCGTCATTATCAGTTAGGTGATGGTTCCTGCACTTGGCCTCAAACAGGCCTGTCTTCTCTCACTCAGGCACTAAGCACCCACTATACTGTACGTCCTGGACAAGAAACTTTAAATTGCTCCTATACTGGAAGAACTCACAGGTAAGCAAGGAAAACAAAAAACTATGTGCAAACTGCTAAGGACGCATAGAACAACAACAATCCTGAGGAGGTTAAAAAATGTAAGGCATGTTTAAATACTTGAACTGAGGTATGAAGAATAAAAGAATACCCCTAGGTGAAGAAGGGGAAATCATTCCAGGTAGAAAGAACACAGTGCAGAAATGTAAAAGCCATGGTACACCTTAGGGGTGAGGAGAAAACCTGACTGCAATTATCTGGAACCTGCAGTATACTGGGGAGGAGCCAGGGCAGGAAAAAGTCACGGTGTGAGGCAAGACTGGCCAGGGACACTCGAGTGCCTATCTGCATAACTTACATGCAATAAGTAACTTGAAAGATCAAAACCCAAAGGATAAAAATAAGACACATGATTTAGTAACCTCATGCTAGAGGTAGTGTGAAGGACATATAGAAAACTACTAAGTGCATGTTCTGGAGGCTACAACTACAGTAATAGCAATATGAACATATATGAGGGAAATCTGACAAGACACAGTGATAGGTTTTCCTCTTAGTGGTGTGGAAGAGAGAAGTGTGAAGAATGACCCCTGGCTTTTATACTGAGTGACTGAGAGCAACAAGAGAAAGAAAAAAAGAGAACAAAGAAGAAATGTTAAAGAGCCTGGTTTCAACATGCCTGCCCACCTTCTTGACCAGAATGCCTCACACTTCACCTTTTTTCTCTGCTGATATAAATTCTACATGGCCTCTAAGTCTCATCTTCTCAACAAAGGCCTCCCTGACCTAACTGCAGCGCACAATGGTCTTCCCAAACTTTAAAATGTCTTGGGGTTGTATATGTGAACTTACTTAACAGTATGCTATGCAGTTATTATTCAGCTTTTTACATGTACAGTTTTAACAAATACGTTGCAACTCGTTTTTCCCCACACTGACTTCCATGCCCTAATGGGTTTCCAGTTGCAGAAACAAAGACTTCTTTTTTTTTTTTGTACCGGGGATTGAACTCGGATCCTTGCACTTACGAGGCAGGTGGCAGAACCACTGAGCTAAAACCCCGGCCTCACAAAGACTTCTAATAAATGCTTGTAGGAGTAAATGACAATGCCAATACAACATATCGGGATCAATGGGACACAATGAAAGCAGTCTTACGAGAAATTCACAGCAGTGAATACTCATATTAGGAAAACACAGCAAGCTCAAATAAATAACCTCAAGGTTCTAGAAAAAGAATACCAGGACAAACCCAAAGCTCATACAAGGCAGAAAATTATAAGGATCAGAGCAGAAATCAATGCAATGGAGACTATGAGAATACTTCAAAAAAATCAGTGAAGCAAAGAGTTGGTTCTTTGAAAGAATAAACAAAATTGGCAAACCCTTAGCCAAGCTTATCAAAAAAAGAAAAGATCCAAATCCATACAATTAGGAATCAAAAGGGTGAAATTACAACGGACCCAGCAGAAATCCAGAGGATCATCAATACCTACTTCCAGAACCTATACGCCAATAAGACAAAAAACACAGAAGAAATGGACAGATTTCTAGAAACATGAATTACCAAACTTGAACGAAGAAGACCTAAAAATTTCTAAACAACCAAATATCAATCAATGAAACTGAAAATGTAATTAAAAACTTACCAACGAAGAAAAGCCTGGGTCCTGATGGCTTCACTGCTGAATTCTACAAGGCATTTAGAGAGGGACTACTGCCACTACTGTTTAAACTCTTCAGTGAAATTGAAAGGGAAGCAATACTCCCAAATTCATTCCTGGAAGCAAGCATCACCTTGATCCCAAACCCAGAGAAAGACCCAGTCTCAGTAATGAGCATAGATGCAAAAATCCTTAATAAGATACTGGCAAACAGAATGCAGGAGATCATCAAGAAGATCATATGCCCTGACCAAGTGGGATTCATCCCAGGGATGCAGGGATGGTTTGACACACGCAAATCAATAAATCAATAAATGTAACTCATTTGGGCCAGGGATTTAGCTCAGTGGTTCCGGCACCTGCCTTGCAAGCGCAAGGTCCCGAGTTCCATCCCCAGTACCAAAAAACAACAACAACAACAACAACAAAAAACCCCACAAAAATAAATAAATAAATAAATGTAATATACTCTATTAATAGAGCCAAAGACAAAAACCATATGATCATATCAATAGATGCAGAAAAAGTGTTCAACAAAATCCAACACTCTTTCATACAAAAACCCACAGAAAATTGGAATAGAAGGTCTCTATCTCAATTGAATAACAGCCATCTATGAAAAGCCAACAGCCACTATCATACTAAATGGTCAAAAACTAAAATCCTTCACACTAAATTCAGGAACAAGACAAGGATGTCCACTATCACCACTCCTGTTCAATATAGTTTTGGAAACATTAGCCACAGCAATTAGACAAGAGAAAGAAATAAAAAGAATACAGACAGGAAATGCAAACTGTCATTATTTGCAAATGACATGGTCCTCTATATAGAAGACCCCAAGAACTCCACCAAAAGTCTTCTAGACTTAATAACCAAATTCAATCAAGTAGCTGGTTATAAGGTCAACACACAAAAATCAACAGCTTTCCTCTACACGAATGACAGACTCACTGAGAGAGAAATAAGCCAATAGCATCCAAAAAACTGAAATACCTAGGAATCAACCTAACAAAAGAAATCGAAGACCTCTACTCTGAAAACTGTAGCATTCTGAAAAGACAGATTGAAGATGATATCAGAAAATGGAAAGACATCCCTTGATCCTGGGTAGGAAGAATCAACACAGTGAAAATGGCCATACTTCCAAAACTGCTATATAGATTCAATGCAAATCCCAACTGAAATTCCAGCAGCATACTCCACAGACCTTGAGAAACAATCCACAAATTCATTTGGAACAAGAAGAGACCCAGAATAGCAAAAGCAATTCTAGGCAACAAACAAGGTAGGGGGTATCACAATCCCCAACTTGAAACTATACTACAAAGCTACTGTGATAAAAACAGCAAGGCACTGGCAAAGAAACAGACCTGAGGACCAGTGGAACAGTTTAGAAGATCCAGAAACAACTCCAGACACACTCAGCCACCTCCTCTTCAACAAAGGAGCCAACCACCCTCATTAGAGGCAAGATACCCTATTTAATAAATGGTGTTGGAAAAACTGGATTTCAACTTGCCAAAGATTAAAACTAGACCTCTATCTTTCAGAATGCACTAAACTAAAATCGAAATGGATTTAAGATCTAAATATTAAATCAGAAACACTAAACTGGCTGGAAGAGAGGTTAGGCAGAACTCTTGAAGACATCGGTGTAGGAAAAATTTCATGAATAAAACCTCAGTTGCATGTGAACTAGCACAAACAATCAACAAGTGGGATCCCATCTTACTAAAAAGCTTTTGCACAGCAAGAGAAACCACCAACAGAGCTAAGAGACAACTCACAATGTGGGGAAAAATTTTCACCTGCTTTTCCTCAAAGGTCTACTATCTAGAATATGTAAAGAACTCTAAAAAATCAGACCTCCCCAATTTAATGACTCAATCCAAAATCAGGCATCTGAAATGAACAGACATTTCTCAAAGAAGTAGAAATAGCAAATAAACATATGAAAAAAATGTTCAACATCACTGGTCATTTGAGAGACGGAAATGAAAATAACACTGAGATTCCACCTCACCCCAGAAAGCATGGCTGCTATCAAGAAATCAACCAATAACAAATGCTGGCGGGGCTGGGGGGAAAGAGGAACCCTGCTCCACTGCTGGTGGGAGTGTAGACTGGTGCAACCACTGTGGAAATCAGTGTGGAGATACTTCAAAAAATTAGGACTAGAGGTCCCATTTGACCCAGCTATTCCCCTGCTGGGGATCTTCCCAAAAGAATTAAAAGAATCATACCACAGCGATATATGTGCACCCATGTTCATAGCGGCACAGTTTTTAATAGCTAAAGCCTGGAAACAGCCCAAGTGCCCATCAGCTGGAAATTAAGAGGCATTCATAGCTAAATGGATGCACATTGAGGTGAAACTTTTAAGTGAAATAAATAGGACACACATGTGTAAATACCGGATAGTTTCTCTGGTGTGAGAAACTGAAAGTGTAAATAAAGATCAAAAGGAAGAGAAGGTCCAAAGTAGGAGGGGTAGGGGAAAGGAAAGAAGGGAAAGGAATAAATATGAGAAAAGGAAAAATAAATAAACGCTTATATGATTAAATTATTTAACTGGCCATAAAAGTGTCTTCAGAAATTATTTGAAAGAAAAATACTCATTCACCAATGTGAATTTCCATACTATCACATTTCAAATTCATTAATCTGCAAACTTTATTAGTTTCATTAGCCTAAAGACATTCTATTAAAGCAATAAAAGAAAGTGTAAAATTTGTGCCTTCTTTCTTTTTTTTTTTTAAAGAAAGGATACTGACTTCTGTTGTAGTAAATTGATCTCGAAGAAAGTCAAGGTCTTCCTCAAGAGAATCAAGGTTCTTTGTGGCAGTCGATAAATTCTTTTCCAACAAAGCCTGAGCTTCATCAATATCATACTCAAGCATTACATTAGCCTGAAGAGAGAAAGTCATGACAATTACTCAACATTTTCACAGTACTTTATGGGCTACAGCAGATGCCTTCAAACTATTGCCCTCAAGACAAATACAATCTGCTGCCTCATCTTTCCTGTCACACAGGCAAAGCTGAGAAGTTAGGGTGAAGACTTGTGTCATAAAAACAAACCAAACCAAAATAGATACTACTTTGGCCTTTTGGAGTTAGTCTGCTGACCCCTGGGTTAAAGAATGTGTATACATACATTATATCATTTAATCCTCATTAACAACCCTAGTGAGGCAAAAGTTTTCTTTATTTACAGTTAAGAGAACGGAGGCCTTGTCATCAGGTTGCCTACACTCCCACAGCTTGTAAATAAATGAACGAATCAGACCAAAAAATGAGAGATTCAGGATAAGAACCAATATGTTTAGATGTAAAAATCCTATTTTTCTGATATATAGATTTAATGTAATCTCAATCAAAATGCCAGCAGCATTCCGCACAGAACTAGAAAACAACAATCCTAAAATTTATATGGAACCAAAAGTGACCCAGAATAGCAAAAGCAATCCTGGGAATCTAGAGCAAAGCAGGAAGCATCGTAATCCTGGATCTCAAATTACATTACAAAACTATAAAGACGAAAAGAGCATGGTACTGGCACAAAAATAGATATGCACATCAATGGGACAGAACAGATGCAGAAACAGCCCCAGGCACATTCAACCATCCTAGGGGCCAAAAACACATGCTACCTCAGTGGTGGCAAACCTATGACCCACATGTTATTTGTTTTTCTTTTAAGATAAAAGATGCTGAGGTTTTTTTTTTTCTAAACTAAAACCACAGTACTCAGGTTTAATTGCAGTGTTGGCACTTTGTGATAAATAAGTGGGTTTTGATTGGCGGTTTGGACACTCATCTCTAAAATGTTCTTCATCATTGCCCTAGAAGCAAGATAGCCTCTTTGTCAAAGGGCTAAGAAAACTGGCTATCCACATGACAAAGAATAAATCTAGAGTCATATCTCTCAACATAAATCAAAATAGACCCAAAGACCTGGATATCAAAACAGAAACAATCTGCTGGAAGATAAAATAGGTAAAACTCTTGAAGACATAGGCATAAGCAAGGACATTTTGTCTTATGTTTGCTTGTTGTTTTTTGAGACAGGGTCTCGCTATGTAGTTCAGGCTGGCTTTGAACTCACTATGTACCCCAGGCTGGCCTCAAACTTGTGACAATCCTCCTGCCTCAGCCTCCCAAGTGCTGGCATTACAGGCTTGCACCATCACACCCAGCAGTAAGGACATTTTGAACAGAGCCTTGACTGCACAAGAAACAATAAGAATCAAAAATGGGATTATATCAAATTAAAAAGCTTCTTCTGTATAGCAAAGGAAACAACCAACAGAGTGAGACAAACTACAGAATGGGAAAAAATTTTGCTAGCTATTCCTCAGACAGAGGAATAATATCTAGACTATATAAAGAACTAAAAAAAAAATTAGATCCCCCCAAACAAAAGACCCAATCAAAAAATGGGTAAGTGAACAGACACTTCTCAGAAGTAGTACAAATGGCAAATTAAATACATGAAAAATGTTCAATATCTATGGTCATTAGAGGAATGAAAATTAAAACAACTCTTAAGATTCCATTTTATCCCAGAAAGAAGACCCATCATCAAAAAGTTAAATAATAACAAACATTGGTGAAGTTGTGGAAGAAAAGGAACCCTTCTACATTACTGGTAGAAATGTGAACTAGTACAACCAGTGTGGAAATCTGTATGGAGATTCCTCAAAATGTGAAAACCAGAAACTCCATTCGACCCAGCTATTCCCCTTCTAGGGATATTTCCGAAAGAGTTAAAGATATAATATTACAGTGATCCATGGCATACCTATGTTTGCAGCAGCATAACTCATAATAGCTAAATCTTGGAAGCAGCCTATATGCCCACCAACAGATGAACAGATGATAAAGAGATAGATATTTGAGAATAGGGCCGGGGATTTAGCTCAGTGGTTCCACTGCCTGCCTTGTAAGCGCAAGGACCCGAGTTCGATCCCCAGTACCAAAAAAAAAAAAAGATATTTGAAAATAAAATACTATACACACACATATATATATAGTAGTACATACATATGTTATATGTGTGTGTGTGTGTGTTATATCTGCCAGACAGGAGGATAAATATGGATCATTTGTAGGACAATGGATGGATCTTGAGACCATAACGTTAGGCGAAATAAAGCAGACACACAAGCTTAAATATTGCAGTTCTCTAATATGAGAAACTCAAAATATAAATAAAGAGCAAAATAACAAATAATAGGAAATAGTGAGAGAGATCTTTTTAAAAAGGGAAGAGGACCAAGATATTTGGGGTGGACAGGGGAAGGAGCAAGGGCAAGTAAAGAGAACTAAGATGTGTTATATACATCTACTAACTCCCCACAAGGAATGTTATCATTATGTACTGCACACGTGTACTAATACACAAAAAGAAATCCTATTTTTCTACTATTTCCATCATGACACTAAATAATATTATTTTTGAATCAATTTAAGTAGTTATTTCTGAGCTTTCGATACAATATTAATTTAGAAGTTGTCAAGACTTTTATTATCTACATTTGATCAGGTAAATAAAGAAACAAGCTACCTTTTACCAGCCCCTTCCTATAACACAGATGCTAGGGATAAAGACAAGGTAATGTGCCTGGAATTCTGAAGATCTGTTGTTACTGCCAATATCTGGGGGTGCAGATTAAGTACTTACTTACTAAACAACACAATCTACAATAATTAGAAAACTATAACAATTCAAATAGAACAAAAATATTCAACCAAAAGTGCATGTTTCTCTAATCCTGGACTCCCAGACTCCTTCTTGAGGGTCAATTACTGTTGTTTTTATGATTTATCACCCAGAAATTTTCTATACCTCATTGACTATCTACAAGCAATAACAGAATACATTTAAAGACATGTCATTTATGACAAAAAACACTCATCATTCATTCAACAATGGCAAGTATTTCTTCTTAGTGATTCTCTCCTGAAACATGGCCTTCTCAGCCTCTCCACTTGAGATGTGTCAAGACTGACACACCCAAAACACAATACTAAGTTACCCCACAAACCTAGCTCCTCCCCATTCTTCCCTCGTTGGTAAGTCGTTATCTACCAAGTGACTCAAAGCCTGGAGGGTCATCCTCCTTGGTTTCTCTTTCCTTCAGCACATGAGAACAAGATGATTTCATAAATGGGAATAGAACAACAGTAAGCTCTCTAATAGCAAACATAGCTGGGGTCCACGTCACACCTCACATGAGGATGTATTCTGAATGGATCAGATATCTACATGGAAATAATGATATCATCAAAGTACTAGGCCAAGTCACAGATAAATTATTTTGTAACACTGGACTAAAGATAGTTTTTCTAGAACACAAACACGCTGGCCATGGTGGTGACAGGCCTGTACTTCCAGTTTCCTGGGAGACTGAAACAGATGGTTCGAAAGTTTGAGGCCAGACTGAGCAACTTAGCAAGACCCTGTCTCAAAATAAAAAATAAAAAGAGCTGGGTATATAGCTCAGTGGTAGAATGCTTGCCTGGCATGTACAAGAGCTAGGGGGGTTGGTTGTAGGTAACAACCCTAAGCAAAACAATGATCAGGGAAAAAAGTAACTAATTCTCCCTAATATATAGAGCTCCATAAATCAGACCTTTAAGCAAAAGACCAGAAGTTCATAATCCAACACAAAAACTAGGCAAATGATATGAACAGAGCTCACAGGAGAAGCAGGGAATAGGGGAAGAGAGGAAGAGGGGAAGGGGAAGTGAGAAGGGAAGGGAAAAGAAACCAATAAATACAAATAACTCAGAATCATTATAAGAAGAGGCTGAGGCAGGAAGATTGCTGAGAGTTCAAGGCCAGCCTTGGACTACATACCGAGACCCTGTTTCAAAAACCATACATACACAGATACATACATACATACATGGAACTCTAATTGAAAATAAAATTTAAAAAATATTGTTCACCTTCAGACTCACACAGGTTTAAAAGTTTTAAAAACTTCATGGTACCATGAATGTAAGAGTATAGGTATTAAAATGCTAGCAGTGAAAACTGGTGGACCCTATGGAGGGCAACTGTGCAGTATAAAAGAAAATTAATTCTTTAAGCTGGCAATTCCACATACCCTACAATCATACACTTATGCAGAATTCAAATGGACTAGATGCATCAGTACAACGACAAAATATAAGTCAAATGGCATAGCTACAGAAGGAAGTTATAAAGACATGAAAAATAAAAATAATGAGATCCTCTCTTCATGCTGATGCATGAAGATCTGCCATACTCACTATGAAATGAAAAAGGCAAAAGGTGGAGCAGTGTGCAAAGTATGTTACCATTTGTGTAAATGAAGAGGAAAGATATATTTTTATTTATCTATGTGTGGCAAAATTTTTCTTTAAGGATACCAAGAAATGAAATGTTGACTGACTAAAAGGGGGATACACTGGACTTGCAAAGGAAGGTAGACTTTTCACAGTATGTCTTTGGTATGGTTGGGATGTTTATCTCCCAGAATTTGGGTGTTGGGAATTTAATACCTAAGTTAGTATATTAATGGGATTTGGAGGCAGGGCCTTTGGGAAGCAATTAGATTAGATGAGGTCATGGGGATGGGGGCCCACCAGGATGGCACTGGTGGCTTTGTAAGAAGGGAGAACCAAGACAATAAGCTTGCTGTATCTAGTCACATGGGAGCCTATCACATGATGATCCAACACATGGCCTTCATCAGATGCCAGAGCCATGTTCTTGAACTTCCTGGCCGTCAGATCCATGAGCCAAATAAAACTCTATTCTCTATAAATTTCCCAGTCTGTGATACTCAGTTACAGCAGTAGAAAAATGAGTAAGACAGTCCCTTTGTACCTTTTTAATTACACATAAACATATAACCTAGTCTAAAAGGCATTA